CAATAACCTCTGCTAAAGGAGCAGTCTCGGTTGAAATACTTAAAAAACTTGATTTTTGGTTCTCGATCTGTGAAAGAGTGGCAAGTTGAGTCCTGGTGATTTTAAGTCGACAAGCCATTATCTCGGTTGGAGAGAAGAGTTAATTTTTGGCCAACATGAAGTGTGAAACAAACGATGTAAGTTCCATCACCCCAGGTTGCCGAGATAATAGAACCTAGGGGGCAGTTGTGGGAAAGTATTTTGCGAATGACAGCACGTGGCTAAGGTGACGCCGAAGTGTCAGCTGAGGTGCCACGTGGCTTGATCATGCTACCGAGATGATCTCGGCTAGGTCGAGGTTATCTACGGAGATATCGGAATCTGAGATAAGCTGATAAGGGACAAGAGTCCTAGAACAGGGGAGGATCTCAATCTGGATAAAGATAATGCTTAAGAAGAACTTATCTCTATCTAGATGAGGGTCCAAGATGAGCATTAAGCCTGAGTCCATTGAAGTGAAGTTTCTAAAGGGATCAGGTCACTGCTGGTTATAAAAGTAAGGCACCCTCATGAGTCTGAGGTAAGTTCTTTCTTGTGAGTTTAAACACTATTTGCTATCTGTAAGAGATATTATTTGATCGTCGGAGTGCCCCCAGGTGGATGAATCACCGCGGAATTCTTATCTTCTTGTTACAAGTTGTTGGGCTTAATTTATTCTGCCGGTGCTCTTCAACTGTGTTCCTGTTTTGGTTGTGTGGCCAAAAATCAACACCCACAATATCAATAAATAATAATTTTAAATGTCTCACTATTTTATTACTTGCGCCACTCCCTCCTCCCTTATTCCACCACCCACCACCCACCACTACCACTACCACCATCACCCACCTGCTACTGCCCACCACCCGCTACCATCACCCACTTGCTACCACCCACAATCCGCCACCGTCACCCACCCACCCACCACCAGCTACCCACCACCCACCGTCACCACTTTCCACCACCGTTTTCCGTCGCCACTTGCCACCACTTGTTATTTCTCACTCTTTTATATTTTTAAATTTTTTTAAATATTTTGTCAATTACCAAACGCGTTTGTAGTTTATGTTTTTCTAAAAATAAACAAAAAATAAACAAAAACCAGTTTATAAATTTTTTGTAAATATAAACTGAAAACGTAAACGTTACCAAACACACCCTTAATATGTTAAAGATTTAGATAATTCTTAATTTTTTTGACTATTTAAAATATGATAGGAAATGGGATTAAAAAATTTCACCCACCGCGAAATTGGGACATGAGCAAAGGTGAGGTTTGAAAATAGGAACGGAAGCGAGGATGACAAATCCGCCCCCAAAACCACCCGTGGCCATCCTAAAGATACTATGCCATTAGAGAGAAACGATTTGTGACATAATTTCATGTTATTCTTCCTTTACACTTTCTGTAATTGATGACTTAATGAGTTTGAGTGTTCCCTTTCTTCTGTAATCTATTCGAGAGAGAGAGAGAGAAGGGCTCAGCTTTCAATAGATATTTGATTAAAATGACCTCAAAAGCATGTGGGGAATTTGAAAAGCAAAACACAAAATCCGCCATTAACCAATTAACTGATTGATTAATTAAACATTTTAAAACATTGAAGAAGCAGACCACCCCCATCTTTTTCGGGAGGCCTCTTCGTAGCTCTCTCTGCTGTTCTGTTTCCACTTCCAAAATTAGATGACAAAATTAGTGAGTTGCATTGTTATTTATTTATTTATTATTATTATTTTATACTTTAAATAAAATATATTAAATCACAATTTTGATATTATTTATAATCTAAACACAGACTTAATCTTTTAATTCACATAAAAAAAAATTTAAAAATACTATTATATTTTCTAATATTCAGTATAATAAAAAATATTTTTCATAACCAATAGAAAATAAGCATATTTAGCAAAAATTATTTCTCACTTCTAAGATATAGATAATGTTTTTTAAATTAAAATGTTTCAAATGCCACCATCATCTCCATCACACTACTATTACTATCTTCGCCATTACATCACCTTTACCTCTTTGTCACTACCGCCACTACTACCATCACCCTACCACCGCTACTATTACTACATTATTTTTAAAAATGCAATCAAATCTAAGAATATTTTTTGTTAATTTTTTTTTTTCTAAAAAAAACAAAACATTAATATAGAGTCAATCACAATACTTCATCATGACCTTCAATGCAAAGTTTACAAAGCATATAAGTTGATTGAGTCAAGTCCAAAAAATCAACAAGTATTAATTAAACTCAAAAGCTTTTTAGAACCAAGTAATAAGACAAATATAATTCATGAAACTAGGCAAACCCCTTCATAACTTTTAGTTTTTTGTCTTTTTTTTTTTCCAATTGCGTTTCCAACTTGAGTTTCGATGGAAAAAAGTGTTTGTATATCATGTGATGACGTGATTAAGAAGATAAATAGATAGATATAAAGCCTCATCCATTTGATGTGGTTTCATGTTGTCATACTTGTCCCACACAAATGCCACTCAATTTCACTTCTATCTACTTACCTTTCTCCATTAGAGTTTATTTGTTTTTCTTTATTACCCCCCATTAGCATAAGATTTTCATATTAGCATGATATTGACCTCTCTCTCTTTACCCCATCATTTTTTCTTCCTTTATGAAATAAAAATGATGCTTCTCATTATTGATATGTTAGTTCTCAATAAAGAGGACTACAACAAAAACCAACATAATTGGGTAGTTAAGTAGTCATTTTGTAATATTATATGACATTATTTATGTGATTTTTTAGACTAAATAGTAAAAAAAATTAGGAATAATATATGTTAGTTCACCTTTACTATTCTCCAAATCTATTTTTATTTTATTTGTGGGTTTCATCTTGGGCCCAACAATAAAAATAAATTGTGTAAAAAATTAAAATTTTTCAATATCAACAAATTATATTTTATTTTTTAAAATAGATAACAATTATAAGTTTAAATTTAGTGTCTTTTTTATAAAACAAAATATGATTTATTCATTTATTTCTCGATCTCTAATAAAATTAATTTTTTGTGTAACTCATCTTTATTATTAAATTTATAAGATAAATAATTTAAATTTCCGTTATAAGCATAAAATGAAACCTGTAAAATAAAATTTGAAACAATACAAAGGATAATGTTGTGAGTATGTGCTCCCACAACTATCCGTTCTATAATTTATTGAAAAGTAACCGTTCAGTGAAAAGCTTAAAATCATGTAAATTATATATATATATATATATATATTTGTAAGTTGAGCTAAAATGAAATTTCCCCTAATTCATTTATGTGCAAGCATATCTCTTTTATTTTGGATAAATTACAAATACACCCTTTCAAACTTGCTTAAAGTATTGAAAAATTACAAATACTCCTTCGTTAAATTTTTTTTATTTAAAAGAATTAACTAAAAAAAGAAATTTATAATTGTTCTCTTATACAATAATAAAATTACCTAAATTATTAATTGAAATATATTTATAGCATCATTAAAAATTGTTAATTGAGTCAATGATTTATTAATAAAAGGGACGATTTGTTATGAAATTATAAATCTTAGGGGTGGAATGTAATTTCCAGAACCATAAAGAGCGATTTATATTTTAATCAAATCTCAATAAGTGTATTTGTAGTTCACCATTTATTTTATGATGAATAGCTTGTTTGGTTATGGTTTTTAGAGAACAGTTTTAAAAAAACAATGCTGTTACAGGGCCTGAAATATTCATGCCCGAATTTGGCTCGAAACCCAAAACAATGTCGTTTTGGCTTTCAATTTTTTTTTTCTTTTTTCTTTTTTCTTTCTCGTTGGAAGAAGAAGAAGAAGAAGAAGAGAGAAGAGAAAAAAAAAATCAAAAATTAAAAATCAACTACTCTCTATCTCCTCTTCTCTTCACCTCCGTTGCTGCTGATTGACCACCACCTCCTCCTCTGTCGTCGCTGCCCCCCTCTTTCTCTCTCTCTTCTAAACGCCCACCGCACCACCTCTCTCTCCAAAACTCTTCTCCTATCGCCTCAAATCTGGACTCTACCGACCTCTTCTGCATTATCGAAACCCTAGCTCTGGTCGGTCACCATCAATTCCATGGCTTCCCTCCACTGATCGAAGGTTTCTTTGTCTCTCTCTCTCTTTTCTCTCTTCTCCTTTCTCTCTCTCGCCTCACCTCTGTAACAGGTAAAGGAAGAAAAAGAAAAAAAAAAGCAAGAAAAGAAAGAAAAAGAAAAAGAAAAAAGAAAAAAGAAAAAAAAATTTGAAACCCAAAACGACGTCGTTTTGGGTTTTGAGCCAAATTTGAGCCATTGATTTGGGGCCCTCAAACAATTTTCTTTAAAAAAATTCTATTTTTTTTTTATTTTTCGTATTTTAATGTTTTTAATGAATTTTTTTAATATTTTACGATTTTTTTTTAAAAAAAATTTAAACACACCTAACATTAGACTTAAAAAGTATAATGTTTGTGAAAAAAATCTTTAAAAAATACACTAAATACCAAAAAATATGAAAATTTAATACATTTTCGTATTTTTGTGTATTTATTAATTTTTAAAAATATATTTTTAAAATATTTTATTATTTAGATATATCCAAGTAAGACGCGTCTAAAAAGGTAAAAAAATTTGCTTAAAATTTTAAAAATATTCACTAAAAAAAAAAGTACAAAGAATAAAAAACTCATTTTAAAAAAAGTTAAATTCAAAAAACTAAATCAAATTTCAACAATGATTCATCCCACTAAAAATATCACCACTAATAGCACTAATACATTAAAAAAGTAAAAAAAAAAAAAAGCACAACTCCAAGACCAAAACATCACATCATTAATGGCGGAACCCACTGCCACCTAATTAGTGGGAGCACTAATTAGTGCTCCCAAGCATTTTTCATCAAATTTTGGGTTGAAGGGCTTTAGAGTCATTTTCATACCCTACCTAGGGTTAGGGTCTGCAATCGGTGGTCCGGTTCACCGAGCACCGCATGCCGGTTCCTCTCTCTCTCTCTCTCTCTCTCTCTCTCCCCCTCTCTACGCATGTCGGTCCTTTTTATTGAGATGCTAGCCAAACACACTCTTCCCTCACTCAACTCTACCACCTTCTCTCTCTACATTTTCCTTCTCTCTCCCTCCCGCTCATCCATCATCATCCTTTTCTATAACTCTTCTGATCCACGGCTAAACCTGTGCTTTTTATACCTTTTTTTTTTAAATTTTTTTTATTTTTAGTTTTGTTTATGACATCTCTTTCTTCAATGCAAACTTCTGTTTTACTCCAAAGTTCCTTGCAATCTTGCTCTGTTTTTCTCTCTCCACAATCTTGCTCTGTTCCTCTCTTTCTCTTTCCATATCTCTGTTCTTTTCAAGATATGATTAGGGTTTTTATATAGCCTTCAAAACCCAGTGCTAGAAAAGAACATCTTCTGTTGGTGGTTCTGTTTCAGGAAGCCTGTATAGAGCTCATGGATCTGAGCCAAAAGGTCAGCCAATCTATATCATGATGAGCTTACTCATTCAATTTCGTTGATTCAAGTGATTCAATGATGTTCTTATGATGATTTTTTTGTTTTTTGGGTTATTAGGAATCTGGGTCTGAAGAAGTGAATGAGATCAAGAAATGTTGTTCTGATTGCAAAACCACAAAGACTCCCCTGTGGAGGGGTGGTCCAGCTGGACCCAAGGTAAGTCAGAACCAACCATTTTGATCTTTATTGATTGATTGATTGTCTATGATCACTTTGTTGTGATCTTGATTTTTAATCAAATGGTCTGTTGGGTTTTTAGTTATGTTTATATTTATGCATTTATTTATTTTTTTGTTACAGTCACTGTGTAATGCTTGTGGGATTAGATATAGAAAGAAGAGGAATGCTATGGTGGTTTTGAACAGAGGACCAGAGAAGAGGAAAGAGACACCAGCCAGTGGTGGTGGTGGTGGTGGTGGTGGTGGTGGTAAGGGTGGTAATTTGAGTGAGGATTTAGGGCAAGATTGATGGCGTTAGGGAAGGAAATGGTGATGATGCAGAGACAGAGGTCTCCAATGAAGAGGCAGAGGACTAGTAGGAAGTTGGGAGAGGAAGAGCAAGCTGCTGTTCTTTTGATGGCTTTGTCTTGTGGCTCTGTTTTTGCTTAGATAGAAGAGAAAGGAAACTGAAGAAGAAAAAAAGGACAGATAGATACAACCTTCAATTTTCTTTTCTTTTCTTTTCTTTTCATGGAAAAAATCAAATACCCTTTGTTGATGTTTTCTATGGGGTTTTGTGTTGGAATGGTGGTGGAAATCTTTTAGTTTTTTTAGGTAATACAGGTAGTGGGGGTTTATATTTATGATGTACATGTTATTATGTTGTAATGAATTATGAATTTAAGTTTGACTTTGCAAAATGCAATGTGTGCTAATTTGGTGTTTATTATTTTGTATGGGCAAGTGAATTTACTTCCTGATATATAACTTCTTTTCAAAAATTATCTATAAATCTCATCCAGTGTGTTTAGTTTGAGTTTTTTAGATTAAATTTTTTAAAAATTGACTTTTTGATTTTCGTATTTTTTTTGTTTTTAATAAATATTTTTTAAATTTTAAACATTTTTTTATATTTTTTTAGATGCACCTTACTTAGATGTATCTAAAAAGTAAAAAAATTATGAAAAACTATTTTAAAAAATTAATAAATACATAAAAATACAAAAAATATATTGAATTCTTATATTTTTTTTTGGTATTTAGGGAATTTTTAAAAGATTTTTTTTACAATTTTTTTACTTTTTAGGTGTATTTATGTTAGGCATGTCTAAAAAGTAAAAAAATTACTTAAAATATTTAAAAAATTCAATAAAAACAAAAAAAACACAAAAAATAAAAAAGTAAAATTTTTTGAAAAGTGTTTTTTGAAAAGTGAAAACAAGCAAGGTGGTTAATTTTTTTTTATAAGCTAAATATTCTCATTGATTTAAAATTGATGAATTTAATATGTTATTTAAAAATTAAATTCGGTTATATCTTTAATTTTATTATATTTATTTCTTTATCTTCTTTCTTTTGTTGTGTGCTAAAATCGTAACCAAATTTGAGATAAATTTTTATATGATTTTTTTTTGGTATTTAGGGAATTTTTAAAAGATTTTTTTTACAATTTTTTTACTTTTTAGGTGTATTTATGTTAGGTGTGTCTAAAAAGTAAAAAAATTGCTTAAAATATTTAAAAAATTCAATAAAAACAAAAAACACAAAAAATAAAAAAGTAAAATTGTTTGAAAAATGTTTTTTGAAAAGTGAAAACAAGCAAGGTGGTTAATTTTTTTTTATAAGCTAAATATTCTCATTGATTTAAAATTGATGAATTTAATATGTTATTTAAAAATTAAATTCGGTTATATCTTTAATTTTATTATATTTATTTCTTTATCTTCTTTCTTTTGTTGTGTGCTAAAATCGTAATCAAATCTGAGATAAATTTTTATATGATTTTTTTATTTTTATTTGAAATGAATTGAAATGTGAGATTTTTTAAACTTTTTAAAAAGAGTATAAAAATAACTTGAAATAAGAGATTATTCAAATATTTCAAAAGAATATGAGATTCATCAAATATTTCAAAACGAGTACAAAAATTTTATAATAAGCTTTGGACAAATTTATAATTTCAAACTGTAACACTCAAATATAACATTCAAAGTTAATACTCTAATGTAGCACCTTAAAAAAAATTTCTTAGTATACTTTTCTCAAATGTAATATTAAAAATAAAAAAAAATCTTTAATGTATTTTTCTTAAATGTAACACTTCAATGTAACATTATAAAAAAATAATGGAATTTTTCAAACCATTCTAAAAGGATTTGAGATTTTTCAAATCATTCCAAAAGAAATATAAAATTCATTAGTAACCTTTGGACAAACATATTACATTTAGAAAAAGTAAATTAAGGAATTTTTTAGTGTTTTTGTGTGTTAAATTGAAGTGTTACATTTAAAAAATTTACACTAAGAAAAAAAAATTGTGTATTATATTAGAGTGTTATGTTTGAGAAAAGTACACTAAGAAATTTTTTAGTGTTTTTGTGTGTGTTATATTGGAGTGTTACATTTGGGATTACATTGATTGGAGTGTTGTGTTTGGGAAAAATACATTGTGTTATATTAGAGTGTTACATTTGAAAAAAATACACTAAAATTTTTTTTAGTATGTTACATTGGAGTGTTACGTTCTTATTCGTAATGTGAGATTTGTTCCACAATGAGAAAAAATTCAAAATCTCTATAGTGCAAATTGCCTTAATGTGTAATTTCACATTTGAAGAAATTCACTTTTATCCTTCAAAAATTAAACTCAAATGTGTAAATGACTATCCTTTTATGTAATTTTCATTTCAATGGGACCGTTGGATTCATAACAAAAAAAGAGAGGATTAAACAGTTCATAAAATCACATTTTAAAATTTATTGGTACTTCACCCAACTTCTTTTATAGAAAATAAATATCACAAAAAAATAAAATGTTGTTTTTGTAATTGACGAGTATTGTGTTTTTAAGTGAATGATGTATCTTGAGTTATTATTTTCTATATAAACAAAATTATATATGAAATTTTACTTGTATATTAATTCAAAAAGATTATGGAGCCTCTTTAATTTACCTGAAAATTTACCAATTGTTTACATGACAACTCACCATGAAGGATATTTTTATTTAAAAGGAAAATATCTATTTATTTATTTATATCTATCTATTTATACTATTATAAAGTGAACATCCCTTATGATGTCTTGAAACCTTTGTTTCTTATGCTACCATGTGTCTATCTTTTTATTTGAAATAAAAAAAAAAAAATTAGATAAATAAGAGGAGGGGATTTGAACCTTAGACTTATGTCAAAGGAATAAGACTCTTACCACTTTACTAACACAAAATATATAATAAGTATTTTATTTTATTTTTATTTATTTGAATTGCACCATCGCGTTATTATATACTAGTGGTCACCCGTGCGATGCACGAGATTTTAGAAAGTCAATAATTATTAAAAAAAATTTGTTATTTGATTGTATTTCTTAATATTTTTATTTAGTTTGTATATAAATCTTATATCACATCATTAAAAATATTAAATATATCACATTATTAAAATTTTAAAAAACTATCATCCATTAAGTAAATCATAACATATATAATAGCTAATTTATCTAAGAATTATTTCAGACAATCAAAAATGGAGTAACAAAGGCATATTATAATTAATCACAATAATTAATATATTAAATAAAAGTAACACTAATTTTGTTTAATCAATAGTAGATATAATATAATAAATTAAAATAAAATTAATTTTAATTCCCATTATATTCAGTTAGTGGTTAAAATTTTTTTGCATGATATTTGTTTTTTAGGTTATATTGATTCATTAAACACAAATGGTTTGGAATGATTAAAAAAAAAAAAAAAAGTTTGGAAATGCGTTAAACTTGAATTGACAAACATAAAGAATATAAATATTTAAATTATTCAAAAAAAATAACATTTTAAATATGAGATATTTTCCATTTGCTCAAACTCTGAATCTAAATAAAAATAAAAATAAAAATAAGATAAAATAAAAAAAGAAAAAAATTGTGGTTTAGTTCTCAAAGGAAATGAGTTCCTAAAAATAAATTTAATCATAAGTTATTTTAAACCACAATGCAATAATAAAAAATCAACTGATGAATACATTTAAATTATAAACCCATATCGAATAAATTTTGTCGTGTTCTTCATTTTCAATCTAACATCTGCACCAAAAAAAATTAAACACAAATAATCAATAAGTGAGAGAGTTACAAATTGATAACAGTAGCGCTTTTATAAATATATTAAAAAAAATCTCAATTAAATGATACATTATTAACAAAAAGAAAGAAATAAGGAAAATACAGATTGTAAGAAAAAAATTTAAAAATAAAATAATAATATCCATTTACATAAACTCACTTTCTCACAAATGCAAAAACTCATGCAGGAGTAGGTGAAGTGGAGTGTGTAGTGGAGTAGGTGAAGTAGAGGTGGAGTGGTGTAGTGGGTTAGGTTTAGTGGAGTAGGTTTAGGTGTACATTAACACTTACTGAAAGGACTTGTGTTGAATATGAGATGAGGGACCTGATTACCTTGGATTTACACGAGGTTATGAATTCAGTTACTACTAACTGGAGAGGATGGATCCATGTAATTGACTTCAAGTAATTAGGGTGAAAAGGTTGTTTATTAAGTATTTATATTTTTATTTTTGTATATTTCTTCATTTATTTTTTTTTTTTATTTGACTCTTTATATTATTGTGTGGTTGAAATTTGAATAGTTATCTTTTTAATTTATTTTACTTTTTATATTTTTATCTCTACCTCTTTGTTGTTCATATTTAAATATTTATCATTTTTTTTAAATATGTATAATCCTTTTGGCTTTTGCGATTTAGGTAATTGACAAATGATTAAAAATTAGGAAAAGTGGGAGGAGAGACTTGAGAAGTGACACATAGCAGAGAGAATCCATAAGAATTTAGTATTAAGATTTTGAAAAATTCTCATACTCTACTACATTTAGTATAGATTCAAAATAAAAAAGAATAATATGTGACAGAAGGAGAAAAAAATATAAGTAAATCAAAACAAAGGTTTAGATAGATATGTTTTTCATAGATAAAGATTAACAAATCATATCTTTATTTAAATTTTATTATTTTAATATTTTGTAAATCAATTATTTAATCTTTATCTTTATCTATAGGCCACGAAATTAATTTTTATGAATTATTTATGAATTATTTATATGTTTATTTATCTATAAGTCATGAAATTAATTTTTTGAAATAATTGTTTTAATTTTTTTCTTTATCTCTAGGTCATGAAATAATTTTTCATAAATTATTTATGAAATTTTATATGTTTATCTTTCATTTTTTTAAATCAATTTTTTAACCTTTATTTGTAGGTCATGAAATTAATTTTTATAAGTTATTTATCAATTTTTATAAGTTCATTTATGGGAAGAAATTTTAAATTATCTATAAGTTGTGAAATTAATTTTTTTAAATTAGGTATTTAATTTTTATCTTTATCTGTAGACCATGAATTAATTTTCATAAATTATTTATTAATTTTTATATGTTTATCTATATGGAGGAATTTTGAAATTCAAATCTTTATCCATAAACCATGAAATTAATTTTCATTTTAATTAATCAAAAAAATAAAAAATGGAGGAAAATAGAAAACATGAAAAACAATCAAAGAAGGTTGCCACGTAAGAAAGAGAGAATTTTAAAATTATGAGAATTCAATAATAAATATTTGGAAACTTTTGCCAATACAACTACATTTGGTTATATATATAGTATAGATTAATGTGAACAACACACTTTAGTGTCTTGAAGCCTA